TACCAATTACTATTTGTATTGATATTAATAAGTTCAGTTTTTTTATTGTACCTCCACATCTGTATTTTGTTATCTTTTATTGATTCGTCCAGACCTTTTTTAAATGCAACTATCGGACACTTTATTTCTACAATTGTGTCTTGTCCTATTAAACCATCGGGGGTAGCACCAATAAAAGGGTATTCATCATCTATGAATAATCCGCAGGGTGCAATGACCACTTTTTCTTGAATCGCAAGTTGTTTCAAATCGAGTCCTTCATTTTCCACACCATGGGCTATCGCCGCTACGTTATTAATGTTCGATTTGTATAAAATATTTTCCACTAATTTTGCTTTGCTGGTATTTTCCCTTCTTTTCACTATTAATCCGAAATTTGATGCTGTTATCATATTTTTCTAAGCTCTACCCAGTCATCACTATCTCTCTGATTGAAAGTGGATAGCTGTATTTTTTCCTTGTCTGAAGTTAACTGTTTCAGGTTTTGAAGGAAATTTTCTTTGGCTATATTTAATTCTTGTGGTGATAAATCAGGTTTAATACTCTGAACTCCATAATCGTTTTGAATTACATTATTTGTCTTTAGCATTCTATTTTTTTGGTGAGGCCTTTCTTTATTTAATTTTCTTTTTGCCAGTCGTCTTTCTTCAAATCTCTTCAAAACAGATTTTTTTGGGCTTTTGCCTAATATTGTTTTTTTAAGTAGATGTCTTGGATACGGATTATTAAAAGAAACAACTGCTGCATTGCAGCGTGCTTGATATCCTCGACGAAGTGAGAAATTGATTCGCTTTCCTCCTACAATTTTAGCGATTACACTGTTGAAACGCTCAACAGTATTTGCATCCACGTCCTCAAGCATGCTTTTCGATTTTGAAACAACTGATTGAATTATTGTTTGCATCCTAAACCAAAGCAAAGTATTTTCTATTTCCATGTGGCTCTGTGTTGTCTTTTCTTTCAAACAATAATAGTTATTGCATTTAGCGTGGTCGCCGTAGGCATGCCGAACTGAATTTTGTACGTCATTTCTAAAACCTGCTAATGCTTCCGGTTTCTCTTTTTCTAATTTATGTTTTTCTATTGATTTAAGCACGACTTTACGGAAGCTCAAAATTTTAACCTGTGTCAATGTTTTTCTATGTGCCAAGGGGTATTTGGTATCTGTAGACAAGGTTTTCAGTTTATTACACATATTGCGTAGTACGTGATTCCTACATTCTATTTTTTTAACTGTGTGCGTCGGGTAAGGATTACGTGCCAGTATTTTCGCGTAAGTGGCAGAGTCACCATCAGCAATCAGTCTGCCATAGACAATATTATACATTGAGATTGACGTTTCAAATCCTTGACATATGATTTCTGACTCCATGCCACTTGAAGACCCTGTATAATTTTTAAAACAAAAGTGATTTGGTATTTCAGTTTGCTTTTTCTCTGCTCGAGCACAAACAAGACAGTACTTGTTCTTGATACCCAAAAAAAGGACTTCACCAAATCTACGTCCAACTATTGCTGCGGCTCCGGATAGTGCCTTATAGTTATTTCCATATGATCGCGCTGACCAGCATGCATCGGCATATACATCTATCACTGGTATACCGTCTCTTGTTAACTTGCCTTCTGCTATTGCGGCATCTATCTCACGCTTAGCTGCTACCGCCATAGAATCCACAGCTGTTAATTCCCATTTTTCATATACTTGGTCTTGCAGTCTTGAATATGTGACCTCTGTAAAAATAGGAATATTTATGGATGCTGTCATTTCTTCGAATTGGGAATAACCAATACCAGCAGAAGTGATTTCTATAGCAGCAGCTATGTTAACATTAACGTCGTGTTTATTTAATGTGTCTTCACTTGTGATGATGAAATCCTTTTGACACATGTTACATTTTAATTTAAATTTTGATATTAATCCAGTTCTTCTTTCTCCTAATAATGAAATATGTGAAAAACTGCAATCAAACAACGAATTATGGTTGGATATGGTTTGAATCTGCTTATAAAACGAATTTATGTCAATAATGCGTCGACCATGCACTGGTTCGTAAGCATCTTCTTCACATGTCTTTTCCGTATGTAATTCGGGGTCGACAGCCTCACTGAAATAAAAATGTATGTATATGCAGATTTATTAGGAATAAAACAACAGTGAAATGACATTTACATGGCTTATAAACTTTAATTATTCTTTCGTGATACTAGTTTTATATACCTATAGTTTGAATTCAGAATATTGACTGTATTTGTTAGGGTTACTGGTAAATCCAAATCCAGAAGTGTTTTTTCAGAATCATTCAAAGTTCTGAAAATAAAATGAAAAGGTTAGTTAGGTAATAAAACGAAGCAAACATGAGTATTGTATATAATAATAATTAGTCTTTATAGATTGAATTCGTAATTACTTACCCGTCATTCTCATTTGATTCCAGTATGTCTGCTGTATGTGTTAAATTTGAAAATGTCCCAGTAGTTCCGTAAAGATAATATTTTTTTCTAAAAATAAAACAAAATGGTTACGAAATAGTACATCATAATACAAGTATGCTTAGTTGAAAACAACGCACGACGTTGACATTGGACAGAAGCGAAGAGAGTACCGCGGCTTTCTGTTACGCGCATGTTAATTTTGATTACTACCTAAGAGTGCGGTGATGTGAATATCAGCAGCAACAGGTTGCTTTTGGTTGGTAACAAGGCTCATTATAAAACAATTATCGGTATAGTAACATACAAATTACGAACAATGGTGTTAAAAAAAATACTTTTAAATGAAATTTATGGAATTCCGGAATTTAAACCATTTGCAGAATTCCGGAATTCCGGTATTGTGTCAATAAGTGTAGCGACACTTACAAATAGAAAGAAGAATAAATCCTAAAGGAACCCATTTTTTACAGATAATTTGAATAATAAATTATGGTTTGTAAAATATAACTTCATCCCTATGACAGTTGTCAGTTTCGTTCGATTATTGATCTAAGCGCATTGGGATAAGGTTCTTAAATTTTAGTATGATGAAATGGAAAACCTTATTCCGATGCAATTAGATCGATAATAGAACGAAATTGAAACGTCATACGAATCGTGTTACAGTTTACAAACTATAACGCTTTTATAAGTCAATTTGATATTTACCCATCATCATTATTAATTTCCTTTATGGCATCTGTACGAGTTGATTTGGTCTGAGAATTTTCATTGTGATTGTCTTTTTGCACGCTAAAAATAACACAAAATAGGTATTTTTTATAAAATCTAACGAAAGAAAATAATCTTTATATGTACCTACTACACTTTATATAATTATACGTATATCCGATTCTGACTGTATGATGTTAGGGTTTAGATAAAATCGCTATGCCTAATCTATTTATTATAAACACACTTTTAGATAGTTATTTATTTATTTAAACACTTAATACTTACTGTCTCTGAACTCTTATATTATTCATATGCTCTCTTAGTTCACGTAGCCGTGCCCTTTTGCGTTTATTCTTTTTTATACTGCGATTACCCATATTTTGATAATTATAAAATGTAAATTACGAAATAGCTCCGTACGAGTCACGCGCGGGAAAAACTTGCACAGTACCGTCGTTGACAGTGGTCACAGGCGTACTGATGGGCCCGACGAGGTGAGTCGGCGAGCGCGCGGTGTTGTTAAAAAGAAATAAAATAATTTTAAAAGATTTAGTGTACATATCGTAAAAATAACAAGCAAAATTTTAATATTACAAAAGAGCTATCGAATAAAACAAATTTAATGCTTATACGTGTAGTAGTTCTTCTGATATTTGGGAAATCGTCAAAAGTTAAACATATTTTCGAAAAAAGAATCTATCGAGAAAAAATTTAGCAATCGTGTTTCTGTTAAGCAGAAATATAATTGAAGGACTGAAGATATACATACTAAAAAATTACAGTTGAAAGCTTTGTATAAGTCTAGTAATAAGCTTTCAAAAAAGGGCATTTCACTATATACAGCGCCTTAAGCGAGAGAACGGAGCATGTGTCGCGAGTTTGTTTGTGTTATTTCATAGAACAGCACTGCGCGAGGCGAGACATAAAAACTGCACGCAGTGTGGACGCCCGCTCAGTGACCCGCTTAACGCAGCGCAGGCTCATAGAAAAGATAGGGGAGGGAGACGACGCTTTTCATTTTGTATTAAACTGACAATGTCCGCGCCCCGTCTGAGTCGTTTCTGTGTTCTACGCCTTAGTACTTGTCCACAACTCCACGTCACGACGTCGTCAACGTAAAATGGTGCCGGTAACGCGGCACGGTGCGTTGATATACATATCTGTCAATTAAACCCGAATAGGTAGAGTGAGCAAAAAAGTTTTTCTTTAATCATACTTATTTACCAAGATTACGTGAGAAACAATATCAAATTTTAACTAACATTTTATATTTTACTAGCTGACCCAGCGAACTTCGTACCGCCCTAAAAAAATAGGGGTTGTCCAGCGGACAAAATTGTGAATCTAAACCATTCTCAGATCCCCTTGAACACACACAAAAAATTTCATCAAAATCGGTCCAGTCGTTTAAGAGAAGTTCAGTGACATACACAGTCACAGAAGAATTATATATATAAAGATTTTTAATATTAATAAAAACATCATTTTTAATAATATTTATTTATTACGACTGAGTGACAAAAAATATTAATCATAATCTAGCTCTTTAATGCCGCTCATCTCTGCACTACCGTCGGAGTAGTCATCATCACGACAACTTTATTTAAAATAAAAACGGTCTTTTTCTTACCTATATTTCTAATAAAACTAATAGTTTTTATGTATCCCTTTTCCAATACTCATTTTTATAAGTTCGCATGATTTATTTCCTTCTTTTGTTTACAAATATTTGGTTTTTATTCAAGATTACCTCAGTGCTAAAAAAGTGTTCATAAATTTCTTTGAAAACCGTACTTTTCAAGCGAAATTTGACAAATGGAGGTCATTGGCTTTCCTAAACTTATTTGAATTGCATAGTACGTGCTAATTTACTAATAGGTTTACACATTATGCCAACGCACCGTGCAACGTTACTGCTCGTGACGAAGATGTGGACGCCCACATGCGCACAGCGCGGTCGTTCGTCGCGGGTACTCGTATAAAGGAAAGTAATGTTAATTTCTAGATGTTTTATTACCATAGAACAGTTTACATAATAAGTTGTTGTAGTCAAACCAAAAACTATTTTTATTCAACAGAATAATTGTTGATTTTTGATTCACGCAGGAAAAGTGGGTGGTATTCATTGACTGGATGCCTATGATTCTAATTCAGAACCTTTCATGGCATGGCACTAGTCCTCACACATTCTCCTATCATACTTAAAAATAGAGTACATATATGTTTCGGAATTCTGATAAAACTATCAATAATATTCAAAATGACATTTTGAATGAGTACGTAAAATATATATACCTCCATTTATGCATAACACAGAACAAAGAAAATAATTAATATACACATCTCATAAAAAATCTTGCATAATTCGCGCAAACATCATCCCTGTCAGTGATGCTCACAGACTAGCAGACACTCAGAAATATAATACAAAATATTTATTGCTGTTAAGTTTCCAAGGTCCTTTACCGTTGTAATGTATAATCTGAACAATAACCGCTTTAATATCCGTGAATACAAACATAACGTTTCTACTGATATAAAATTTTCTTTTTGTAATCATTGAAAGTTGATAAGGAATTTTACCATTATTTTAAATTTTCAGCATAAAATGGCACAGCTATATGCATTATTTTGCGCATAAACTGAATGGATGACGAGGTCTTTTTAGTTTAATTAACATAAAAATATTGATGATGACAAGTATATTGAGTACTTACAAGTATACAGTTCTTTGGCCCCACATAAACGAATGTCCTCATTCAGGTAAACTTGCCAGCCCCAGAAAAAAAACGCAAAATTTCATTAGCTTTTTAAATTTATATAAAACCAAATGGCGGCCAAGACGAAAAGGTAACTTCATTATCAGCAACATCAGTTTGAGATTCAAGTTGGAATAACGGCCAACCAGAGTGAATGAATATTGATTCTGGCATGATTCTCTAAACTTAAAACTAAATTTAACATCAGTCTGTCCTCTTCATTCTGTACAGAGAATGATAAGAATAAACTGTTGTCAAATTTAAGTTTAGTTAGTTTTTGAGAATCATGCAGGGTTCAACACCATTGTTTGACATTTTACTGTATTTTTTTTGTTTTTTATAAAATCGTTTTAATTTTACATATTACTAAAACTATAGTGTCAATAATCAATTGCCTCTTTATTAACATTGAAAAAGAACTTTTAATTACATATGTACAAATAACGCAACGACGAGATGAGAAGGCCAAACTTTCTGTTCATCACACAAGTCTGAAATGCAAGTAATAAATATTGGAACAACCAGTAAATTAATTAGCAGATGAGAAATCTAGTGAAATAAAACAATTTCTACATATATAATACATGAGCAATTGATATAAATGGAAAATCATTATTGCTAAGGCGCATAATCAAATTCAATGTGATGAATAAAAAGTAATATTCACCAATATGGCGTCCTTCGTCTCTTATAACGTGACGGAATCTTATACATTACACCAACTTTTAAACAACATTGACACATGCCTTAGTTTACAAAACATCTGCAATAATCAAGCACGCATCAACAAACATACATAATCAAACATTCAACCTTTCATATATCTTACGAAACAATAATAATTTATAAAATTCACAGTCCCTTGCATATGTGCATGCCTAAATTAACATACGTCAACTTTCATTCTATCACCTTTCACAATATCACTTTTATTTCACATAAGTAAAGATACCACAGCCACTGTCTGTATTTATAATACCAAATAGGAAAAATGCTTCAATGTTTTATTTAAGACAATTGTGAAATTAATTGCCAGGCATCAATCATCATATAACTTTTTATTATATGCTAGGTGCATTGATGTGACCAATGAAAATTGATATAATTTACATTTAAAGAAAACTTTTTTATTATACACTAATCAGAATATTAACAATGGTGCCAATTCTGGCATGATTCTCTAAACTTAAAACTAAATTTAACATCAGTTTCTCCTTTTCATTCTGTATAGAGAATGACAAGGATATACTGCTGTCAAATTTAAGTTTAGGTTTAGAGAATCATGCTAGAATCGACACCATTGTTGATTTTACTGAGTTTTAAGGTTAAAATATGCCCCAACAAAATAAGTATTCTACATACAGATACTAATTTTTGATGCAATTTTAATAACTTTATTATTTCAACATAATCTAAGTATGTTATAGAAATTAGAATGATCTTAATATGGAAAATAAATGCACCTAACAAAGGTTAACAAAATGATACAAGTTACCTCATGTAACCATGACCTGCCAATACAATGCATTTTAATTTACCAGCAATAAGTTGTTTGAATTTGCTTTACATCAGTACGGTACCACGACGTTTCAAATCTGAAAAAAGAAAGTTTTTATTTTTTTAAGCATTTAACTGCTAGATGTTTAAATCTAAAGAAAAGTTTTACTAGAAAAAAATATTCTTTATTCATTAGGTAATATTAAGTAAATTTTTAAGCCTTTTTAATTAATTGCGTTTAGCTTTGTAACAGGCAAGCAAGACATAGTTTGTAACATGTTAACAGTTACTGTTAGAGATGTTACAGATGTTTTGTAAAATTTTGGTAAACATAAATATTTACTAGCTAATACAACGTAACAATACTATTTGTTAAATTGAATAAATCTTTTTTAAGTTACTGAATTGAGGCCTTAGATTATACTGCTACACATCCCTTATGGTCACAGCTCATTCAATGGACACAAATGCAGTATAACATACACGCGTTAAAAAAAACTACAGGAGGAATGCTAAAATAGCAACAATATGCATTCAATCCATCCTACTCTCACCAATAAGCCTGATAATGTATTGGAAAGAGATAGATATTGCACTTTTCTTTGTAGTTCCGAAAGATAGAAAACTACGTTTTGACGACAAAAATTTCATAAAAATATGTTAAAAGCAAACTAACTCAATGTTACAACTGACAGCATTTGAAACAACGGTTTTCTCTTTTGAATAGTTTTCAATGTCCAAAACTCCAAAGATATGAATATTCACCAAAAGTTAACCACATAGTGCTACCAAATCATGAACAACTTTAGAAAACAAGCAGATTAAAGTATGATCTACTGTCCCACTTCACATTTGACTGCATTTTGTATAGAAAAGTATTAATATGACCAAACAGTTTTTATTTTAGCATTCTTCTTATGTGAAAGGGGTGAGAGAACAAATCTGTTATCTGACAAAATTGCAAAAATCTACTTTTTTGCATGAGCATAAGTATCAAGTGATGATAAGTTCAAAACGCAAATTTTTATTCATGTTAAAAATGCAGACCCAAAGCAAAGGTGTTAAACTGACAAAGTTGCATACATTTCAGCCCCCTTAGCATGAACACCGTGATATGATATATAATTCGCTTTTATCACGCTTAATTGTGTAATTTCTACGGAGTATGACAGTGAGACGCGGTAAAAATGGAGATAACAAATAAATTGTGGTGCTCACGCTACGGGGACAGGATTGCAAACGTGGTATGAACCCAACACAAATGTGCAACAATTTTTGTGCACTCACTTTTTCTTATTGTTATCATCATCATTTTATCATCATCATCATTATCAGCCTATTAATGTCCCCACTGCGGAGGCACAGGCCTTGCCCCTTCCCTATGGATGTAATAGGGAGATCGGGCCATGGCCAACCACGTGGGCCCTGAGCGGATTGGTGGATGCTAACGATGCAGATGCAACTGGGACCAACGGCTTAACGTGCGTTCCGAAGCACGGAGGAGCTCGAGATAGTAAATTTTTGGTCACCCATTGAAAGTTTCTTATCTTCAACGATCGCAGCCGAACGCGCTAACCACTTGCGCCATTAAGCTCCTCCCCATTGTTAGTATGGGGACAGTGTTCTCACCAGCTAGTGAGCGGCGCCTGCTGTTTGAGCTTGCGTATTTCCTTGGTGGCCCAGTTAGCCAGCGTCTTGGTGCAGGTATTGCGTCTCTAGTAACGGCAGCATCCGAATCCCGATCACAGCGCATAGGACGCCCGTGAGGCCGGCGATGACAGACATATGGCCGTCGGTGCGCTCCGGCTCGTAAGTTATTATATTATTATTGTTCTGTGGGGGCGGTATACTCACCAGCTAGTGAACAGCGCCTGCTGCTTTAGCTTGCGTATTTCCTTAGTGGCCCAGTTAGCCAGCGTCTTGGTGCGGGAATTGCGCGAGCGGCGCGCGGCTTGCAGCAGATCTAATAACGCGCGTGTCTCCAGTAACGGCAGCAACCGGATCCCGAACAGTGCAGAGGTCGCCCGTGAGCCCGATGATGACGGACAGCTCGCACGCTATTACATTAATATTGTTCAGTGGGGGCGGTGTACCCACCAGCTAGTGAGCGGCAGCTGCTGCTTGAGCTTGCGTTTTTCCATAACCCAGTTAGCCAGCGTCTTGGTGCGGGAATTTTGCAAGCGGCACGCGGCTTGCAGCAGATCTAATAACACGCGTGTCTCCACTTATGGCAGCATCCGGATCCCGAACACGGTGCAGAGGTCGCCCGTGAGGCCGGTGATGATGCACAGCTCGCTCGCTTACATTACATTATTATTGTTCTGTGGAGGCGGTATACTCACCAGCTAGTGAACGGCAGCTGCTGCTTGAGCTTGCGTATTTTCTTAGTGGCCCTGCGTCTTGGTGCGCGTATTGCGCAAGCGACTCGCGGCCTGTAGTGGGTCTAACAAAGCGCACGTCTCAAATAACGGCAGCATCCGAATCCCGAACACGGCACGGACGCATAGGACGCCCGTGGGGCCGGCGATGACGGACATGTGGCCGTCGGTGCGCTCCGGCTCGTAAGTTATTATATTATAATTATTATTCTGTGGGGGCGGTATACTCACCAGCTAGTGAGCGGCGTCTGCTGCTTCAGCTTGCGTATTTCCTTAGTGGCCCAGTTAGCCAGGGTCTTGGTGCGGGAATTGCGCGAGCGGCGCGCGGCTTGCAATAGATCTAATAACGCGCGTGTCTCCAGTAACGGCAGCATCCGGATCCCGAACACGGTGCAAAGGTCGCCCGTGAGGCCAGCGATGACAGACATGTGGCCGTCGGTGCGCTCCGGCTCGCACGCCACTTGGATCATGAAGTTCACGATGGCCGGAACGTGCGGCTCCACCAGTGTCACGTCCGAACGAACCTGTCCACAATATCGTCAATCGTCAGTAATATCCTTAGCACAATAGGCTATTTGTAGAGATTGAAACCCGGTATGTTTTTCAATCCGGATGGGTCCGGTAACATTCGCCGCCAAACCGGGTTGGCTTCATCATAATACATATGAAAATTTGCTTTAAGTAAATGGAGGAAAAATACAATGATTCAAGGATACAGAATAATATTTATTTCAAACCAGCAAATCAACAATAATCATTCTTATGGAGGCCATACACATTAGGTTTTGCATGATGGTTTTAGCCAAACATGCATAACCGACAGGCAAGCCCTTACGTGTATGTGATAAAACTGTACAATTTTCGGTGCATGTAACTCGGTTATGCATGTCGGTTATGATTGCACGATTAAAACCATCATGCAAAACCTAACATGTATGGCCTCCATTAATCGGTCTCAAAATCACGAGTTTTTAACACAGAAACGTTTTTGCGGTGACTTGAAAATTGAATTTAGTTTTTTTTTTCTAAATTACATAACAGAATTAAAAATATCCACTTTTTATGGACACTACAAACATTAGTAAATAACGTGAAATTGTTTTCTAAAACTTGTCAAATACCCTATTCCGATTCTGCCAATCTCTGGCTTAAAAGAGACAAGGTATTATTTAAGACTGTTCCCTTCTTAGTACGAACCATTATCGAATTCGAATAGTTGAATTCGATCATTTTATACGTAAAATGAGTACTGGTTTTCAGTTCTCGTTACGTTCGTTGTGGCGCTGCTATTCACGTTTCCATACAAATTTAGAAAATGACATTTCGCACTCGCAAACTATTCGATATTGGTTCGTGCTAAGGTACTGTATAGTGGGACAAGGATCTTTATGAATGTGGCGGGAATTGGAACTTACGTCGCCGTCTTTGTAAACGCCACATTTTGTCATTTACGTACACAGTGCGACCAAGATCTTTATGAACATGAGTGACAGTTCAGGGAGGGCGCCACTGTCTACGTAAATGATATACAAAATATGACTTTTCCAAAGACGGCTGCGTTAGTTCCAATTTCCGCCACAATGATAAAGATCTTGGGCGCACTGTAGACAGTGGCGCCCACCCTGAACTGTCACTCACATTTATAAAGATTCCCATTGCACTACACATGACACTCACTAATTGAACATTATAAATGTGAAAGTTTGATGTTCGTTGTTAAATCTTTCAATCTAAATGGCTGAACAGATTTGAACGGAATTTGGCATATATATAGTTTAATATCTTGATTCAATAAGATACTTTTTTTCCCAAAAATATTTTAGGTTCCCGTGGGATTCTCAAAAACTAAGTTTTTATACTACAATTATAACATTAAGCTGTTGGGTTTTGAAAAATGTTATTCCAGAGTCATCTTTAATTTCACTGTAACTGTGTCTTTATGAGACATCAAGAGAGTCTTTGTGTTTTAATGAGGTTATATATTGTCTGTTTTATTTATCAGATTTAGTTAGTCCAAGTAAATGGATGAAAAATAAGCTGTTACATATTATTATACTCATTGTTTTTCAAGTTTACCTGGTTAATAGGTAAGAAGATTAATTTATTTTAATGCAAGATTGCATTCTAATTCTTATTCTAGTTTTGTAAAGTAGAATTTCATGTTTTTGCAGACAAGCATTTTGAAATTAAGTTGACAATGTGGAATTTGATTGTAATTGGAAAACTTTAGTAAAATAGCACAAAAGATAGTGTGAATAGTTCAAAAAGTTACTTATCAAATCAAGCTGCACTCTCAGATTGATATACTAACCTCGCCATCCACACCCTTTAGTCCTTGTATAATTCCAGTATAAGCCTCTAGGACACTCTCGCGAAGTTCCCCTAAATATTCTACCATATCATAATCGTTGCGGTCGACTTGTGCGTTGCTGGCCTGTAAAAAGAATAATGAGGTTTATATACTTATTTAAAAAGTGTTCTTAGAGGCACAAAATCTATATTCAATAAAATTTAAAAAAATCATTTGGCTTTTCATAGATTATGGGAAATATTTTATGGGGAAGCTTCTACTGTATTCTAAAATTAACAAACCTGCAGCAACATTTGCATAACCACATCAAAATATTTAGAGAAGTCAGACCCAATACTAAGGGCAATATCTCCAAATACAGACAAAATCTGTGGCTTGACTGAACGATGTATTGATGGATCACCAAGGTTCTCCAATAATAGATAAATTATTTCGTCACAATAGGGTAGCACCTGGAAACAGGGTAAAAAAAATAAAATATTATAAGATATATATGTTTTACTTTAGTAAATAAATAAATAGACACTTGAATAAATGAATTTTGGCTACAGATATAGAAAATGTACTTTCTAAAATGTTTTAATAATTGGTTTTCTTACCTTACTTTTCAGCGCTCTACAGATATCTCCTGTGACACCCACAGCTGCAATGCAAACTTGGTATTCCTGATGATTTTTGAGGCCAACATAAAGATATTGTTTGAAAGCATCCATATACTTTAGAAAACCTTCTCCCAAAACCTCAACTAAAGTAGAGACTGCCATTAGAGCATCCTCTTGTACACCTCCAGCCTTTCCAGCATTTCCCGCAAACATAGTTAAAAGAGCAGTCATAATAGCATCAGATATTTGAGGTGCATCTTCAGGAGTAACTTTGCGTAAAACTGATTGTAATGTAGCACACAAAAGACTTTGGAGGTCATTAAATTGAGAACGATCAGCCTGGCTTGCTATATGATTTTCCATTTGCAAGACTTGTTGTAGTCGCTCTAAAATAACCATTGTTGTTTTTTGAACTGTCACATAACAATCAGTGGGTGAGTTTTTAACCATTTCCATAAGAGCTTCATAAGCAGCTGATCTTAAATTGTGTTGAGCTGCATCCTGACGATCAGTTGTTTCTAAGAGACGTTGTACAATGAAGTCAAAGTAAGTAGACATGCAGTATGTTTTTGGTTGATTGAAGTCACCACAATCTGCTGCTTCATACGCTGCCTCTGCCAATCCAGTGAAAGCCCAACAAACATTAGCTGCAACTCGTGGTTCAGCTTTTAGACCATTTACAAGGCTTTCTAATAATGGTTTGAGATAAGTCTCATTGATTGCTGCCTCTGGGACAATTTCACAGATTCTACCAAAAGTCCAGGCGGCTGTGTCTCTTACAGCTACACTGGTATCATACATAGCATCTATTAAAGTTGGCATAGCATTTTCCACCAATGGTTTAAGACTTGTTGCTTCTAAGCCACCAAGAATAGATCCAAATGCCATTAAGGCAGCTTCTCTGTATCTCCAATTCTCATTTTTTATATTTGAATTTATGAACGGTAGGACATGTGGGACAATTTCATCTTCACAACAATTTGATAACAGCATTAGGCATACTGAAGCAGCCTTAGATGGATTCCATTCCAATTCATCATCTGAGTCATCTTGTTTTGTTAATTTCTGCATAAGAACTGGAGCAAGATATTGTAAAGCTCCTCTTGCATAAAACCTCGATGTCCTAACTGGCGGTCTTCCTGTAAATATAATAAAGGTAAAAAGTCTATCTAGTCTTCTCTTTGTAAGAATTTTATTATGAGTAAAACAAATATAATGTTACCCGCTTCAGCTGCTTCTGCTTCTTCAATAGCAAGGTCAATCTCTTCATCACTAACATTAGACCAAAATTCAATGCCTTGAAGAGAGATCTCATCTATATCAGATTTCATAGCCTCTAAAGTGATAGGGAATAAAGCTTGGCCCATATATGGCTCCATATATTGATAATACAATGAGAGAATTTTGACCTGTGGAAAATATTTGGATGTGAAGTACAAAAACTAAAATAAAAAAATATAGTACTAACAGATAAGAAAGAGTGGTGAGTAATAATTTACCAAACACTGAAGTGCTGCAACACTAATTCTCATGTCACTTGATTGTGTTGCTTCACATACTACTTCCATAATGAAATTTCTTTCATTTTCTTTATCAAAATTAGCTTTGGTAAATTCTAAGGAGTTAAGCAGTGCTTGTGTGGCAGCTAGACGAACATGATTGCTGGGTTCTGTAGACCTCATTCCATGGATAATAGCAGTTAGAATTGGATTGCTCTGTTCTGTTAAGACTTCTGCATCAATTTCTTGACAAATATAGCCTAAAAAAACATGACTTTGTTTTATTTTGAAAAATTTTCAGCTCATCACATTTCTGACAATGCATTATTTCTTGACAGGCCACACACTTGCCTGCATAATAAAAATATCAGCTGGCTCATTCAATGCTTTTTTTCACACAAAGTCCAGCAGCCAGCAGCAAAAGGGGTTAGTATATTGATGTATATACTTATATATGTCAGAGGCAATCTGTATAATGCAGGTATTCTATACATATTGTATAGAATACCTGCACTATACTGTAGGTATTCCTAGGCAATGTTTAGAATTCCTAGAGCGTCTAGACAATGTATGGGAAATGTAAATACTATTTTCCCTTTTATACTTTACCTAGGTAATCTATGCAATTCCTAGGGATTGTAAAGAGTACCTGTTGGCCCAGCTAGTGGGCCATGTGTACAATAAACCGATTTAGCCTGTACTTATTCTAACCAAACCTAACCTAGTTGCACTGCAATCCTATTCAGTTGCAGATAAAATGACGGATGGATTTTGACCAAATGAATAACAACCATCTAACCTAACCAATGAACGATTGATGAAATGACAGCTGGTTAGGTTAAGTTAGTGTTCTGACCTAAACTCAGCGTGAGCCGTGCGAGTAGAGCGAGCAGGCCGCGGCAGCGGGCTAGATAATTGATAAATAGAACAAGGAAAAGTTGACGCGCCGTCTTTTTGAAGTTATACTTCTTTAGGCGCGTTATGAAAAAATGATGAGAGTGAAATTTTAAGATGCGCGCGCACCACTGTAACACAAAAATTGGTAAATACTTTTGTGTTTACCGCACATTAAGAGAATCTACCAATAAAATAGAATCTCTATTTAGTGGGTGCTAACGACTGCATTGTGAAGGCCTATCAAAAGTATTTATTAATCTGGAACAACGGAACCAAAGCGCGATTCAGGAGACTACAGCGCCATCTCTTGACCATTGGTGTAGTAGAACCAAAAACCACATCTTTATTTTTTGTAATAAAGTAACAGTTATAGGTATTCATATTTATAATATTTATCCACATGTTTCTAGTTTGTATATTCGGAATACATGTTTGAGTTTCATACAAGTGCAAATCACATATGTTCTAATAAATTATATTCAGTAGCGATTTTAATTGAATATTTTGATTATTTATTTATTTTTTCAAATTAAAACTGAACTTTATTGACTGTGTCCTTTTCCAGATTTTTTATTAATTTATTGTAATTAATTATTTGCATGCAATTAAAAACTAATTTTAAACGATGCTAAAGAAGGATAACTTCTCACGCGCCTACATAAGTACACGCACCCATTTTTTTAAACACATTGCCGACTGTGCATTTGGCATTATTGAACAATAATAATAATATTTATTTGTTCTCTTCTCACACAGAAATTTATAAAAACTTTCTACTTAAGAATCCTCAAACTTTTAAAATGGCCCTCTGCGCAACCTCGTTTTGCTTTAGGGTACCCCACCCCAAGAAGTGATGCGATATGTGAGTAGGCTTCTTGCAAGTGCAAAATAAATACGTTTTTCATCCCACCACCTCGGAAAGTGTAATTTTGCGCTTCGAAATCTGGCTGGAAAATTCTATTTTATTCGCTTGAGCGGCAAAGTAGATTTGAATTTAGAACATCACATATAATGAGTACTCAATATAATTGTAAATTCAAAACGTCATTAAACCTATTTAATGTAACCTCTATGGTGCCAAATTTATGATTAGAACTTTTTAAATTGTGAAAAAATTTAAATTTGGAACCTTCTTGGTTTCTTTGTTTTATTTGCGTGCTTCGCGCCATTCTAGTTTTTCACGTTTTATTGCTTAATATAATTAACATAACCTAAAAACTGTACAAAAAAATCAACTAAAATGAGTGACATTAGCGACGATGAAGTTTATCTAACGCCAACTGAGTTAACTAAAACAGTTAATAATGCGCAAATGAGCCTTCTCCCTCAGCAATCACGAGAGAAGTATTTGAAACAGTACGATATATTTAACATGTGGCGACTAGCTAAAGGAGCAAAAACTTTCTCCGAAAACGTTTTGCTGGCATATTTTATAGAATTATCTGAGACCAAGAAAGCAAGCACGCTATGGAGTACGTATTCAATGCTAAAATTAACAATTAAGATGAAGAAAGACGTTCATATCGACACCTATCATAAATTAGTGGCATTTTTAAAAAGAGCCTCATCTGGTTATAAACCAAAAAAATCGAAGGTTTTCACAGCATCTGAAATTGCAAAGTTTATTAATGAAGCACCTGATTCCGTATATTTAGCGGCAAAAGTAAGTCAATACGTGTAATTTTTTGTTGTTGATAAAATTGTACATAGTACTTACAATATTTTTAATTTGATTAATTTATTTACGATTATAAATACTTCTTTTGTTACAGGTTGTTCTTATTATTGGTATAACCGGAGCATGTCGAACAAATGAACTTACACTACTTAATGTCAATAACGTATCAAAATATTCTCATAATTCTGATGAATTGCTATTAATTAATGTACTAAATACCAAGACAAAAAAAGACCGCAACTTCGTTATTCGCAAGGAATATGTAAACATTGTTCAGAAATATCAAGCTTTACGTCCTTCTAACACCCCAATTGAACGATTTTTTCTACAATATCGCAACGGAAAGTGTATCCGACAACCTATGGGTCAGAATAAAATTGGCAGTATTCCACGAGAAATAGCAACTTTTCTCGGACTTTTAGAACCCCCGTTATACACCGGTCACTGTTTTAGAAGAACCTCAGCCACACTTTTGGCCGAATCAGGGGCTGATCTTCTATCGCTTAAGCGCCATGGAGGCTGGAAGTCTAATTCGGTTGTAGAGGGATACATAGAGGATTCAATCCAAAGTAAATCAAAAATTTGTAATAGTATCGTGGAGGCCATAACGCTGAAAGAACCTCTGTCAGATTCTTGGTCTCGCCCTTCTACATCTAAAATGAGCCCCCATAAGATTGGAAACAATAGCCCTCTCTCGCCAACATTTACGCCAATAGAATCCAATGAATCGGCACAACTATTTAAAATTACTGATACGAGTAGTTTACCACAAAACAGCGCACAATTCACAAACACCAACATAACATTACCTAACAAAAATATTAAACTTAACATAAGTAACTGTAGCAACGTTACATTTAATATTTCTTAATTATTTTCTACTTCTTATTATTTTCTTCAATTTATAGATTATCTTAATGTGTTTTAATTGAAATAAAAATATTTTGTCATTATAAATTGTTTTCTTTTTCATTTTGTCATTTCCTCGCTGAGGTGGGATGAAAAGTTACGTATTGCACTCGAGTGGAAAGATTTTTCACCTTGTGCTCGTTTGTTTCCCTCGCTGACGCTCAGGATTCTAATTTAGAATCACTCGCTGCGCTCGTGATTCAACTTTAGAATCCTTCGCTTGCTCGGTCATCCAAATCGAGCACGCGGTTAAAAAGGAACTTTCCACTCTTGTATAATAAATAACTATTAATGTTTCCTTGTCCAACACATATCACGAAATTTTGAAAATATAAATAAGTTTACGTAGCCTGGCGGATATCAATAGTAGATCTAAATGAAAATTTTTTGAAAATCGTTACGTCCAGATATTTTAGTTTGGAGACAAGTTCTATTGATTTATTACATGGGTATTTCATTTCTTCTTAATTTCAATGCATTCATGTGAAATTATAGCTTTAGCGGGTCTCCCTTCTAGTGGCAATTTACGCATGGAAAACTTGACATGTGTAGGACCCAGAATACTGCCCTGAGGAACTCCGTAGTTAATCTGAGCTTTGTCACTCACATAATCCCCTATTTTGGTACTTTGCGTTCTTGTTGAAACAAGTCTGTCAACAGATCTAATTGCACACGTCTACAACCGTATGATTCCAACTTTTTCAATAATATTAGGATTGAGACCGTGTCGAAGGCCCGCGCGAGATCTAGAAAAAGGCCTATCACCTTGTTACCCTTGTCTCATATTTTTAACTACATAATCTGTCAACTCATTCCTCAGCCTCGGCTGTAAATCTGCCGCGCCGAAATCCAAATTGGTTATAAGAAACCGTGCGATTCTAGATAGTCGAGAGTTAATATTTTTTTCAAAGATCTTACAGAACGCAGTGAGAATTGATATAGACCGATAATTCCCGACAGTTACTATCAGCAAATTTGTAAATTGGATGCACAATAGTACTTATTTATTTATTTATTTAGTGTGTAAAAGCAGAGGGGAAAACTCTCGAATTGAGAGAAAGGTTACAGATGTGTGTTAACGGAGCGATGAGAAATGATCTGAATTGTTTTATGAATACTTTGGAGATGCCGTCCCAACTGTCAGTGCACACGTTCTTGAGACTCATTATAAAATGTTCGACTTCATCTTCATCAGTATTTAACAGTGCAAAAGATGCCATTCTTGACGGTATGTCTTACAGCCTCCGTTTGATTAGGGAGCTTAATAGAAGCAAAATTTGCTCCAATTCCTTGCCCACTCTTGTAAAATAAGAATTCACGGTATTTATTGACTCCGTTCGGGTGTATGAAACTTTTGAGCTGTTCAGTTGACTATGTTTTCTTTTAACAGTGTTGGTAATCTTTCTAATTGCATTTCACAACCTACCGTTATCTTTACCAGCTTTTGTGACTAAATCTTTGTTATAGTTAATTTTTTCTATAGTTCCATATCTATTTTCAAAGTTATATCGCCAAAAATAGCGTCATTTTTAAAAGATGAAAGAGACACAAGCACGTCACTAAGCGAAGGTAAAAATCAGTCTATATTATGAAAGCAAGGTGGACGATAAATTGCCACTATGGCGATATCACGATATTGAATTATAAACAGTTTTCTTCTTGAAAATAAGATTCTATAACCTTGCCATCAAGTTCACTTTTGTGATAGGTTACAATACCATCATTTTCATTAAATAAATGTGCTGACTTTTACTGAGTTGAACCATCTAGTTGTGGAACTGTCATATTGCCCGACAGCCCACACTCTGTCAAAACTATAATTTTGAATTAGGTTTTATTTTGGGTTAAAAAAAAAATTGTGATAAATGATGATGAAAGACCCTATGAATATTTCGTTGCAATATATTTAAACAAGAGCTTTGGTTTAGTTTTAGAAGGTTCCAATTCTGAGGATCGTAGTTTATGACTTCAGAGACAGAAACATTATCAACATTTGATGTACATAATATATATATATATATATACATAATGTATTTATGTTATCCACTTTTGTTGTAATGTGTCCTTTAGTTCAATTCCTTTTGATAGCTAAACACATCCATAAGCACAAATGAAATTTATATCTTATGCCTGTAGAGGGCACTCTTGTTAACTGAATCGTAAGATTTATTAATTAATTAACCATGTTACAGTAATCAGCCAGACAGCTTCAGATAGAAGTCCCTCTAAAAATTTTAGTAACATATGTTTTACATTTAAAATAATGCATAAGTAAATTTCTTAGAACAGTACAGATAATATAAATCTATGTATTTTTTTTATATTATATATCATGACACATAAAAGCAGTAAATTATGACTACAAAAAACAAGATTCCACATAAGATATTTTAAAAACTATTCCAAAATACATATGCATAAAACAAAATGTTTTATAATATATGTAACTGCTCATCCCAGACAAATTTCAACTGCAGAAAAAAAATGCAACAATGTTGCCATTAAAAAATTGCATTACCATTTGATTGAAAATATCTACAACAGTTTTATTATGTGTTTAAACTATGGATTATATTATTTTAATTAAAATATGTGGATCACTGTCTTGACATGTGATGTAGTATGAAATACTGTTGTGTATAAGAGATATTTGTGTGAGTAACTCAATCACATAACATAAACAATAACAAAAAAGTGTGACTTAAAAACAAAATTGTACTATAGAAATGCATGCTAGAATTTTAAACAAAACACAGTAAAAAAGCAAATATATGAAACAGGTGTACTGTATGAATGTAATGAAATACTGAGCTATTGCAGGAACTATTAGTCATTTCAGTTTTGATATTTTCTTCGACTCAATCCTTATGGATGGCAAGCCAAGAATACCTAGGCAAAGTATAAAATGAATAATATTTCATTTGTTGCCTTGACTTTTTGGCATTTAATACATCGCCTAGGCATTGTATAGACTGCCGAATTATACAGATTGCCAGTAACATACATACTTATACCTTGTATAATTATAGTAAGGTATTGCCACAAAATAATAGTCAAATGAATGGAGTGGTGCCAACATTCCCACACAATTAGTGCATCAGATCATTAGTTAAGTAGAGATTGGATAATCAGATGCATATTTACCTAAACCAATTATTTCTTGGTTTAAGTGGCTTCTGAGGATATTTTTTAAAAATAAAATTCAGAGATTCCAGGATTGCATAAGTTATCAGATGTATTTACTTTTAATTAAATTTTAATTCCCATTCCAGTATGTATGTATGTAAGACGTAAGAGAAATGGGTGGTTAATAAGAAAACATATTTGAATGTAAATTTATACATTCATTAAGGACATCTTACACAATTTATTTAAATCACACACCGGACAACTGTGGTTAGTGTCAATCTGGGGTTATTATATCTCATGGAGTATATACTTAACCCTGGGTTCACAGGATATGATTTTTTGAATAAAAAAGTGCTTTCCATAATAGCAGACACCTCAACTTCAGGTTAACATGCATCTGATCTCTAGTTGTATGGAATATATCATGATTGAGACATTATATTTACCAGTTTTTAACAGGTTAATGCACGAAACTTTATTTATTTATTGACGTTTCGCAGCCTTGTCTTTCGAAGGTAGCTCGCCAAAATTAAATAAAAATAAAACATTCCGACGAAGCAGCCTGTAAAGACTGCGAAACGTCAATAAATAAATAAAGTTTCATGCATTAACCCGATAAAAACTAGTTTTATTTAATGAGTGATGTGCGTGAAAACCTAAGAAACAAATATTATATTTACCAATTGCTTCTAAGGTGGCTTCTTTCTTCAGTTCTGTTGATTGTGCATTCACCACATTTTCTACAAGAATGGGAATGAGATCATTCCATTGCCCAACTGCTAATTCTGCTACTGCTACATATGCCACACATTGAGCTGCTGAACTAGGTCTACTATTTTCTGTTCCTATAGCTGCTAGTATCTGTATATATGTTAAGTCATATTAATAATACAGCCTGAGGTAATTAAAATAACAGTATATAAAGGAGATTTTTAATTTCGGAGGATAAAAAATGGGTTAAAAGATGACCTCTTAACTGATGATTAGTGATGATAACACTAATTTCAAAATTAGGAGATAAACTTCTGTGAAAAAATAAACTAAGTAAAAATTAAAAGCAAAATTGAATAAAAGGATATATGGACATATATGTAAGTGAACCATTCTGTTCAACATTTACGGTTTATCATCTGTGGATTACATAATGTAAAAAATTTCAATGTTTCATTTTGTCTAGTGGCTGTATTACTAATGTATTATTAAATATAATTAATTACTTTCTGCCATTCTTCTTCATATCAACTTATATTTTTTTAAATTTCCCACTTTTTCATGATCAAAACATGTTTAAAAGGGGTACAAAACTTACTTTACATTTAAATAGAATTGAAGTAGCTGATTGTGGATGTCTTTACAGAATTCTAATCAGAACTTTTAAAAATTATTAATAAATTGAAACATAATTACATTCTTTTTTATATAGAGTCTTATATCTTCTGGAAGTGCAAGCCACCTCTGTTGATATTGTTGTTTCATTGTTGGATCTTTAGAGGTAAGGTGATTTTTAAGCTGTAGGCCTGCAGCCATTCTTGCCACTTGGCTGTTACCTCCTTGAACCAAAACATCTGAGAGCATTTTAACAAAAGTTGTGAAGTTAGTAGCCGCAGCATGGTCCAAGTACTTCTCTGCTGCTTCCAACTCATTGCGGTCTGTAAATATATTTTTTTTTTTATTTCAATTAATTATTATAGGCAATTTACTACAATTAATATATATGTGTTTTATCAATAGTTTAATGTCATAATTGTATAAATAAAATGAATAGAAGTTAATAAGCAATCTTTCTTTGGTAAATTGATGACTGTTTGAGGTTGGGTTGGGGCTGAGTCTCCTGCTTTTTGAATCAAAGTTCTTGGGTTTCAGTGCCGGTGTTTGCCTAATTGCCATATAATTGAATGTCAAGAACTCATTGTTTTGTTTAGTTTGGGGCTAAATGATTGTTAGAGACTAAAATAAAAAAACTTCATTGATTTATTCAATGTTAAAATTGAAGTGTTTAATCTTCCAAAGAACTATTGATATAGCAACTCAAATAGTATAAAATTTATGGTCAACATTTTAGTTTTTAGAAATGTAACCTTTAAAATTTTACAATAAACAATTTATATACATTATATCAAAATGGTTAAACAATAAGTAAGTACTAAAACTACATTATATTTTTTTCGTATAAGATCAAAAATGAAGATCATTAGGGCTAGAAATTTCTTTACATGACAGTTAAAACATGTCACTATATTGTTCATGTTTACAGGAAATATAAATTAGTGGGCCTACATGATAAAAGTAGTTGTATTAAAAATGCCGAATATGCGTTATGATTTTAAATTTAAAACAGGTATTAGAACTTAGTTATTGCTAATGTGGATTGACAAGTTAATGGAAGCGCCATGCTCATCGAAATGTTAGTTGGATTCTTACCTGGTGATATAGTCTTTTCTAATATTTGTATAAGAGTTAGCGTGGCTTCCGGATGCATTTTGTGTCACTTTTTTATAATAAACCGATAATATTTAAGAGAAATTAAACTCGAAAAACTTGGAAACCGGCACACGACGACCGAACATTCACTTTAAAATGTCAGTCAATGGTCAATGTTACCAGCTAAAAATAGTTTAAACTTGAAATAAATAACTGTCAATTTAAAAAAAAAACTCTTTCGGCGCGATTTCATTTGTAATGTGGTCTTTGAGCTTAAGCTCTAAGGTTTTAAGCAAATTTTGGTAAGTACCTATCTTTTGATTTTGATTCCGACATACGTTAATGATTGTACAAATTATTGTTTAAGTGTAGTAGAAGGTTACGTTTTTAAATAGGAGATTGATTATTACCGATAAATATGTGTGATCATTATCTGCGTTTTATACACAAAATCATAAATTTATAAATATTGCAACAAATAAATCAAAGGCAACATGGAGCATTATAAATAGAAACAGAAAACAATACCAAAAAGAATATATTTTACAAATACAAAAAGATGAGGAGTTTTTGGCAGGATAGCATCGAGTGCGGTTAGCGTCTTATATTAATTATACTTAATTTCGTTCTCAGCGGATATTGTAAAATAAAATTGGTTTTGTTACAACCGTCTTCGTAACTGAAGAATTAGTGGAATCTTTAAAATATACACTATTCCGGTCAAGTGGACGTGAGAATTTTATTGTAGTGTTGACAACCTCACAGAAGCTTATTGAAAAAGCCAACTCGATACATTTCGTGCCACACGCTCCAAGAAACATTAGAATGCGTCATATGGATATTGTATTGTAAAAAAAAGATGATTAATAAAATAAAACTTATGACTAGGCTGTATGGGCATTGTTTCCTTTGCTTTCTCTGTAAAGGGAGCATCTTAAAAAAAAAGGTAATATAATTCTAGCTGATTCATCACTGATAGCATATATTAAAACAAAACGGGAAGATACGATACGCACATACTAGTATCAAATAAAATATGATCCGACTCAACTACATAAGCAACTTCCACACACGCACACGTCTGTATATAAACATTCAATCGAGCGAGCGAGACAGGACTGACGCTTCAACGCAGTGCGAGGGAAACGGCGAGTCCGCTTCCGAGTCCGTATGGCTGAGCTGTATTGCTGTTCTTTTCTTGATAACAAAATGGCGATTGCGTAAATAACATTCACGAAAACCCGTGAAAATCGCTTGAAATAGATATATATAGCTGGCATACCTAAAGATTTGAATCGATATATATGCCCTTACCATAGTTTGACCACACCCAAATGTCGAATCGAATGAGCGAACTGCCATATCACCATGTCTTGTATAACTATTCAGTGTTCATGTGAACGTAGTGACAGTTTGACCGCAGGCATTTTTTGCAAGAAAAGTGTATTAAAATACAGTCGTGTGTCTTCCGAAAGTGCACTAACAATTCGAGAAATACAAATAAAGGTAATGGTATAACATTGCATTCGTACTAAGTATTTATATTTCATTAAATAACAAAGGAGACGGTATAGTTTTGTATGGGATGTGGTAGTGAGTAACCGGCAGCATTGGCATTTATACCACTTAAAGTTCATATTTTTTTAAATCATTTACTAATTTTTCAGATTTTTTTGTACCCCCGTTTTTTTGTAATTAATTATCAAAGTTCCAGGAAATAATTAATCTGGCAGCATTACAATTCTTAAATATGCAGATAGTGCAAATCCTATTATCGATTATCGATACTTTTCATTAGGTAATCGCTTTATATGCTCATTCTATTAATGAATGTTAATTACAATTATATAATATAATCCGGGTGCTGTCATAGATAGCAGTCGTGCCTTTGGGGTTTCCCGAGGGTTGGAGTCAAGCAGGCCATAAAAATCGAAATGACAAAACTATAGGATTTGCAGCGTTGTCAATATCAAGATACTGACTCCATTTAAAATGGGTGCAGAGTAAGAAGATGACACACATCCATCTATACTCATATTGCACCAAAGCCAAAATAAATTGGGAGCAGGGTGGCAAGTGCCGGCCGTGTGATGCCCACAGAGTAGAATAGTATCACCCCGTTTCCTCTAATGGGTGTCATAGAAGGCGACTAATGGATCAGCTAAGGAGTTTTTACCACCTTATTCTGCGTCCACCAATCTGCATTTGGAGATTGGGCAGTAGCCCAAACGTACTTTCTTAACAAGGAGTCGGATTAAAAAGGCTGTGATGATGAGGGTAGGAAGTTGATGATTTCCTTGCATTATATTGCAATGTGTTATTAATTTAAAATTATTCAATTAACAATCGTGCAAAGTAAATAATTATGTAAGAATTTATGAAGTCAATGTCCAGTAGACTTTGTGTTTACATTTATGCATATCTGCATTTTCGTGATTCTGTCTATGGTTTATCATAAATAATCGTAGCTTTATAAGCCACGTTTAACTATGAATCTCTTCACTTAAAAACCATTATGATTTTTAAACAAAAGTGGAACAAACCCTTTATTACCCTATACTACAAAAATAATGATTAGTCTTATTTTGAAATAATATTGATATATAATCGAATAGTAATATCTTCTATTATCGATTACTGATTGTATTAGTTATAACACAACACTGATTTTCTGTGCGTTTGACACATAAAAAGTGAGTTCCTTCGACTTTGTTCGTTTCTGTTCGCGGTATTGTTTATTTTTATATTTATTTGATCTTTTCTACTGTAAACTGGCTACTTTTATACTGACTACGATATTCCCGCTTATTCTGTTGACCCCTTCTCTGTCTTCTGGATTCCCGTTTGCTTATTATTTGGATTTTTAATTGCCCCGGTCGGATATCACGACATTTTGTCAATATAAGTAAATCTTTTCGAAAACTCTATTCACTGCTAAGAAAGAAAGAAAGTAAAACTGAGAGATAAGTTAATTACTTATCTCATTTCTTTGAGTTTCACCGGAGTTCTTGATAAATAATACGTGTTTTGAGATTCATTAAATTAATACATTAAATTAATAAATAGTTCAACATTGTGACCGGTGACATTTGAAAATGCTCTTTATCTCATTTTAAAATGACTACTTTTTGTTAGTTAAATTCTCAACAGTGCAACTCATTATTGGCTTGCGTAATCGTCGCGAAGCTAATAATTAATAAGAAGACAAAGAGTCACTTTTCTCTTACACTTTCTATTCACAAATTGTTGTTCATTTGTCATTTGATTTCAGATATCATGGCATGTATGAATTGCCACATACTGTTGAGGCAGAATATACAATTACATGAATACAATGTTACTAATCTAAGTTCCGAACTTGTATCTATTGTTGAAGAATGGTGTGGTCTTGAGGTAAGTGCAGATTATTTAAATAGCATAGTGTATGTATTCCTGTTTGTGATATAGAGGACCATTTAACAATGCTATAAAATTCTTATAACAGGTGTCTATTAATGATCAATTATGTCAGGCATGTCTAATGCTTGTGATGAGAGAGGCAGCTAATCGTGATAAGGACCCTAGTCATCACCCGGAGAGGGAGATTGGACACTCCTGTGTTTATGTGTGCTGTGGAGTATCACTATCTACACAAAGTGAGCGGCGTCATCCCAGACTGCCATCGAGGAGTGTAGCACCTAAATTATATAGAGAACCAAATATTTCCTTGGATGGTATGTATGATATTATATTTTAGCTATTTGTTTTTTTGCATTTTATATTATTCAGATTTGATTTGTAACATTAAAATTAGGTATATTAGAATGTTTATAGGTTTCATTTCTATAAGAAGAGATCTTTAAGACAACCTTTTGATGGACAGGCAAGACTTAAAACTTCTGAAGAAAGTCATTGGTGTACTTTTTCTTGAAATATTAGACCAATAGTTTATATTTTATTTTTTTAATGTCTGATTAACATAGAACAAAAAAATAAAACATTTCCTTAATTTTCAGGTTTCTGCAAAAGCTTGGGTATGCCATGCTTGCTGGATGAGAGCCTATGAAAACCATCCATTACAAGACGACATAATTGAAATACCTCCAATTGCATTCGTCGAGTCCCCATCTGACAGGAATGCATTTCTTGTACTGGATCCAGTGGAGTTAGATTCTTCGGTTCCAGCAAGTTCAGTACTGCCTAGTTCTGAATCAAGTTCTTGGGCTGGAGCTGGAATAGCAAACCCATCACCAAACCAAAATCTTATGGAATTACCAAATTATAGACGCATATTCGATTCACCAAACCACTGCTTCTTTTTTAGATGGGATATTAATTACAGAAGACGAAGATGAATAAAATGTGATTATTTTTAAAATGTTTTAGTCTTCCTGAAGTATTCCTTTCTCAAAATCATTACTGGAATTTGCAATCATAATAATTCTATGTATTCAAGGTTCCTAATGGTGATTTTCTTGTAGTTAAATGTCTTATATTTAAGATAAATTGAAAGCTTGTAATTTATATAAACAAATTGTCATTCAATAATGTTATTACCTAGGCATCAAAAAATATTTTTTTAATGATATTGTTTTATTTAAAATCTTCATCCATAGTTAATAACAAAGACATAAAAATAGATAGTGGTTTTCACCACATTTAAGGAGTACTTTAAGGAGTGCTGTGTGTATAATGTAATAAATATATTTCAATAATTTTGTGACTGTCCTCCATTTTTAACTCTATCGAATATATTTAGTTACCTATGTTTATAATTACAATAATCAATTAGATTTTCACTTAATTGGCAAAAATGCCTAGATACGAGATATTAACCATTTGTGTATCATAAAGCTAATGTTTGGCGGGAAACCTTGGATCTTCATTTTGCTATTTCAAAATGCCGTCGGAGTAGACTTTGTGTAATTACTAATTATTTTTATACACAAGCATTCGAATTGACTATCAGCTAACGACGAATCATTGAAATTAAGCTTTCTATGAATCACTTCACATTTGAATGCAAGCAGAACGCATGTATTCTTCATATGTTCTAATTTTATTTAGAATATAATTACTGAAGACATGGCTGTATGGGCGTGATTTCTTTGCCATCGCTTCAAATAAAACAGCACAGAAGTACTGGAGTGGCCAGCATAAAGACAAAATGAAAAACTTCGCTTGTAATT